AAAATTATGTTATTTAAAGTCTAAGAGGAGTGGCAAATAAACTAAAATACAAATTGTATCGAATAATTGCGCATAACGAGTTTGCGGGTCTAATGAAATTAATAAATTGCTAAAATTAAATTTAAGTTAGCATCGTTTTACTTTGATATGAAATACTCAGACCTAGTTTACTAAATTTCCAAAAATGTGTATTCATTAAAAAGAACAAACCTAAAAAAATGAGACCGAAATGGTACGAGTATTCTAGCAATTGTTTCAAAAATGTATATTCATTAAAAAGAACATACCTAAAATATAAGACCAAAATGGTATTTTAGCAATTGTTAAATCACATAACACCGACAAATTAAACATTAAGATTCAGTTTCAAATATACAAGTTTAAATATTATTGGGCTCGGTAATTTTCAAAATCAAACCCGGTCCCCGCCCTACACTTTGATTTAAATTTTGTAGTTTTTGTTGTTTCGTCTTAATCAGGCATTTCTGAAAACATTGTCAACGTTGTTTTGAAATTTGGCGGCATAAAATAATTTAATTAATATTTTCTAGAATATGGAAATAATACACTGTGCGCCATTTTGAATTTTTAAAATCTGACTTCAGTAATCAGTGACCCAAAAAACATATAGAAACACAGTTGCTTCAAATTGTGTCAAGGCGTCTTTGAGCAAATAGTTTTGTCCACCTAGATTTAGATTTCAGACCACTGTGGGGCGCTGTTCAATCTAAATGCAGTTACCCAGCAAACATTGAGGTTAGTTATCGATTAGAGAATGATTGGAGAACGAGCCACATTCTCCATTCTCAAACGTTAGAGAACGAGTCGAAAAACTATCGAGAATCTTAGCGATCTCAACAAAAATGGGACATAGTTCTCGACTCGAGAAAATAGGAATTCTCTAATCGAATTCTAATGTTGATCTCTAATGGGATTCAAATGTGAATTTCAAACTGCTGTTTTGCTTTATTAAATAAAACTCTTTGTTTGCAAAATTTGTATTGAATGTATTTGCAATAAAATAATAATGAATTATTTGAACTTGAAAGTAGTTTTTGATTAATTCATTTGGAATTTCGCTTATTTATATTTATTTGAATTTGCGTTGTTTCTCTAATCATTCTCGAATCGAATTCTAATGCAGTTCTCTAACTTCATCGTCTTAAAGAATTGCCCTAGTTATCTAGAATTGCCCTAGTTATCTTATGTAATGTGTTTGCTGGGTAACGTGATCTAAGTTTAAACCGGCACTGCAAAACTGGCCCTAAGCTGTTACTTATTATAAAATTTAATAAACCAAAATTTAATTTTATAAATCTGTGCAGATATGTATTTAATTGTATACATTATTTTTTAATATCTGCAAGTACTAAAAATTTCGCCTTTGATTTATATGGGAAAAATAAGATTTTTCGTAGAAATGGTATAGAATTCTTGAAAATCAAGGTTTTTCGATCGGAAAATTCTGGTTCTCTTTAGGAGACTTTCAATGATAATACCCAATTGTTTATTTAACCATTTTTTATTACTAACGATATTTTATTGCTCCCCCATTGCATTTTTCGGGGTTTTTGTGGGTTTTTGGCAGACATATAAATTATAGATTTCAAAATAAAAAAAAAAAACAAGGGTATATTTTTTTCGGTATAGAACAATCCTAGGGGGTGAAAGCATAAAAATTCCGACTTTACTTTTTACATGCATTTTTGGCCCACCCTAGTGGACATGCTGATAGTAGCCCATTCTCGCTGTATTGCCACTTTTAACTCTTTCGCTGTGTTAAATTGACGTTCATTGAGTTCGGGGGGCAAGCGAGCCTGTTGACGCTAAACTGCGGCGGTCCGCGTTTGCGCGCCACTACTGAAAAACCTAAGACGCTGAGAACAAATATGCGCATCGAATTGAAGGCTTAAAACAGTAACAATTTACATTTAACTTCCAATAATTCGATTATCAGTTATTGGCAAAAATACCGTTCGATTTTATGCGTATACTGCAGAAGGGAATTTAACGCAGAACTACACTGTATGCAAAAATAGAGAGCAATTCGTTTAAAATAGTTCTATTTTATGCAGATGTATGCCTGTATACATAATTGGAATGTTTCAGTAAAATAAAGCCACAGAAAATACTACTCACGGGCTTTATTTCCTTTTTTATGAAATAAATCAAGCGGGCATTATTTCATTTTCTTTGAGAAATAACGCCCGCGGCCATTATTGCTCTTTCTCAAAGGAAATTAAGCCCACGTGAATTTTGGTGAAGTTGTACCAAATTTTTGAATAAAAAATAAATTTTGGGCGGGACGAAGTTCGCCGGGTCTGTTAGTATATATCTCAATGTGAATGTTTCAATGAACTACGACGCGGAATCGCACGAAACTTTGCACACTTATTTGTTTTTATCCCGGGAAGGTTATAGACATAGAAAAAAATCGGCACTACTGGAAAAGGGGGCGTGGCACCTCCCATACTAACTAAAACTTTCATGTTGTATATCTCTTAAAATATTTGTGGTAGAGTACTGGAACTTGGTGTCGAGTTAAATGAAATTAATTCCATACTCACATATCTATGGTAGGTGCTTTTAGTAAGGTATATATATAAATGAGTCTGTAAAAGGGGGCGTGGCACATCCCAAATGCGTGGAATTTTTAATCAGCTATAACTTCGGAACCATAAGTCACATAAACGTGAATCTTGGTATGCAGATATATCTATGGTACATAGGTGCTTATAGTAAGGTATACATAAATGAGTTTGTAAAAGGGGGCGTGGCACATTTCATAGGCGTGGAATTTTTAATCAGCCACAACTTCGGAACGATAAGTCACGCGAACTTGAAATTTGGTATGCAGACATACCTATGGTAGGTGCTTATAGTAAGGCATATATACATGAGTTTGTAAGAGGGTGCCATATCAGCCATAACTTCTGAAAAGTCACATAAACTTGAAATTTGGTATGCAGACATATCTATGGTACATAGGTGCTTATAGTAAGGTATGTTCAGTCATGCCCAGCGCAGGGCACTTGCATATAGAATTCTGCCAGCGCAGGGCACTTGCTTATGGAGTTCTGCCGACGTTGGGCATGACTGGTTTATATAAATGAGTTTGTAAAAGGGGGCGTAGCGCATAACACAGGCGTTGAATTTTGTATTAGCCATAACTTCAGAACCACAATTTACATGGCCCCTTTAATTCTTTCCGATATGCCCTTCGAATTTACAGGACTCAGTTTCCAGTTCGCTTAGCTTTTGCAATGACAATAAACAATAATTCCTTAAAGCAAAACCCAAAACTTTATCGAAAATAAAATCTATGATAATTGCATTGGAAAATGCATTTATGTTAATAGAGGCGTTGCAGTATTAAAAACATGCTGTGAAATAATATTAGAGTTATTATTCCAAAGAAAATAGATAGCTAAAATTTTAATATTACAACATTGGTATTTCTAATACTACTTACATACATATCGTCGTTTAAAGTGCAAAACCGCGTAACTGACATTTGCTGCCGAAAATTGGATTTGCACACACAAGCTCTTGGCTCAATTCTTATCCATTCGTCCTGAAATATACTTTCCAAAAATGCGATTGCTTTATAAAAAAAAGAGAACCATTTTGAAATATGAGTGTTTTTACTATCTAGAAAATAATTTATGCAACCTCACATACGCGGTTTTCCATTATCTTGATACGCGGTTTTGTATTTTGTTGATACGCGGTTTTTCATTTTGTTGATACGCGGGTTTGTACTTTAAATGACGATATATTATTTATTGGAGATATTTTAATGTAAATAAAAGCACCTGCTGTGCCAAAAAGTTATTATTACATTTCATTACATAAAGCTATACAACTGTCATTCAGTATTCCCTTATAGTAAAATTAGAGCAGAAATAAGATACAACGTCTTTACATAAATTATTTTTCATATTTGTATAAAGACGTGGGGTGAAACCCGCAAGTAAAAGCTAGTATATAAATAAATAGTAACTGAGCAAACAACAAAGACAATAGCAATATTACTTTCTTGTTTGTTTTGTACTTATTTTACACTTGTTATATTTGGTTTTTTACCTCGAGAATTTCGTGCATATTTCACTAACCAGTAGCTCGTTTCTGTAACAATTCACACTTTTGCTTGATCCCACCTACTTCACCACTATATGGCTATGTATATCTATATAATTTTATCCTTTCTATAAAAAAAAAAATAAAATACTTCGAAGTATAGTAAAATAAAAATAAGATCACTTTGTATTGCCTAAATACCTGAACAAGAAAGTTCATCGCCGTTTTTGATTTATCTTTAAAGAAAATTTAGAAATAGCTTGGAAACACAAAATATTAAATCACGTTTATCACTTTGCGCTCATAAAAAGGAAAAAGCGACGACTTTAAGAGTATACTGCAAGAAAACGGTAAATTTTTGATTACATAGTAATGTAGACTTTTACATACTTTCATTTGGTACTAAAAACTTCTTTGTACATTGAATTTCATTTTTTGAATTAATCTCCAATATCGATATCAATTACCCCACTATGCGACGATATACTGCGCTCCAAAAGGCTCAGGAGGAATGATTATGCATGTCCTTAAGAAGAACCAAGTTTCTATTTGAATAGTTTATTTTTAGGACCGTTTTCTCAAGTAGTTTTTAAAATTTATCTGCCCCTTAAACACAAATTTTGTTCTCAAAAATGAATGAAATGCCACTTTCCTCCCGTGGAACGTCTGTTAAATTTACTTATTTTACAAACTTATTTTAATCACAAGTTGTAGATGAATTCTTTTCTATAAGTTTTACTTTATCATCAAAAGCAAAAGTAAATCGAAAATGCCAATTAATCTGATATTAATATATTGTAACTACCCGCAGTTATTTTTGTTTGCCTTCCAAATAATAACTTGGTACATTAATCGAATAGTAAAATTTTATTGCGATCCCTGCTAAAATCGTTGATAATTGACTCTATCTTCCTTTGCAGGATGAAAAACCATCAGCACAGCATTTACATGAGGACATGTTCAAAACAAAACTGCATATGCAGCTCAGTCAACAAAAACAACAAAAGAAACAACAAGAAATTATCACACCAAATCCTTCAGACACCGAGGATGATGTTGAAACTCCACCTTGCAAGAAGCAGCGCTTTGAGCTGCCACAGCCCGTAGTTACACTCACACCACCTCCAGAAACACGGAAACATATGCGCTCACAAGGACAGCCGCAATCTCAGCGAGTCAGTGTTATTATGCACGTCAATAGCTTTGGCATTTGCTCCACCATCGACGAGAGCTCTTGCTCTTCGACCATTTCCAACGCCTCTATTGCGTCCATCGCAACCACCACCAGTAGCACATCCGCCTCAAAAGTACCTATACTAACGTCCGATGATGACTGCAGCCAAACAAATGTGTGGCGCAGCTTGAAATTCAAAATGAACCGCACGCGTTGCGGCAGTTTTTCAGCGGCATCGTCTGTGCCGAATCAGCGGCAGCCAGAGGACGAGCAAACAGACATACCGTTAAAATCTCAACCTCTTATGGACCCACCACAATTACGTTGCACTCTGCCCTCTGTTTCAATCTCAGCGGCATCCATGCAGCAGCAACAATACACCTCCTCTCCGCCACAATATCAAGTAATAGCACAGAAAAGTATTTATATTACGCCGTCAGCGTCTCCCTCCGCGTCGACAGGGAGCAATGCTTCAGTAACAATTGCTCCAGTCATTCCCCCTCAATTGTCGGTACTGAACGCTATGATGCAAAATGTCACAGCTAGCCCAGCAAAAATCGCAGCGCCAACACCCAACTTAACCCCAGTGCACAAAATGACTGCCGCGCAGATTGCTGCTGAGCGACGACGCATTTACGTTTGCGAATACCCAAACTGCGGCAAAAATTACTTCAAATCCAGTCATTTGAAAGCGCATCAACGCGTACATACTGGCGAGCGACCGTTCATCTGCAAGTGGGAAAATTGCGAAAAGCGCTTTTCGCGCTCGGACGAGCTGTCGCGACACAAGCGCACACACACCGGGGAGAAAAAGTTTGTATGTAGCGTCTGTCAGAAGAAATTCATGCGCAGTGACCATTTGTCAAAGCATGTCAAGCGCCACGGCAAGGATAAAGCAAACGGTGTGAATCGCAATGTGGCTGCGGCAACAATGGCAGCCGCAGTAGCTGCCGCCTCAGTAGCTACAAGTGGACAACAGCAGGCAGGTGCGAATAATGTTGTTTACAGCACCATCAATACAACAAACTTACGTTCAATTGCGCCAGCGGGCAGCGCGCCAGTGACGCCGAAGCATGCGCCGGCTCCCCTCTCTGGCCTGCAGATACAAATCTGCAATGCTAACGACCTTTTGCCCATGCGGCAAGTAGGTGCGCTGCCAACGACATTCACTAGGCTCATTGCTGATCAGCAGCAATTTCAGGCGCAGCAACAACGTTAAAGCATAAAAACGTGGTTTTAACCTTATTAGTTATTAAGAACACGCAAATATGCATCCGTCATTCCAAAAATCTAGAATATTAAACAAAGCTGTAAATTTGCAAGACAGTGGTAGCGAATCAAATTTAGAATATAATCGGGGCTATCACTGAATCAATCGTAGTCCGATTTCTGCGAAATCTACGAGAATGTCATCACTTTAATCCAAATTGCTACGAACGGACGCATTTGTTGTTATTACGTAGAATCGTTCAACGATGTATTCAGTGATCGTACTGAAAGTGTGGATAAGAGTTTTAATTAAAAATAAAGAAACCTTTCAATTTCTGATTTTTCAAATCATAAATAAACTACGTTTCAGCTACCATCCAATGGAAAATGATGTAAATAAAAGTTAAAAATTTGCAGCGCCCCAGCAAACATATTCTCTAACGTTAGAGAAACGATTGGATTTTACATCCGAATTCGAATATAATGTAAGGTGAGAGAACTATGTTAGAATTTGATTAGAGAATGATTAGAAAAATTCTAGACATTTGAAACCAATTAGAATTCAACGTTAGAACACGATTAGATATGTAAATCTGTTCCCGATATCGCGATCTAATTCCCCTTATTGTAGAGAATGCTATAATTCACGACAGTTTCCCTAACATAACAAATAACCTGTAGTTAGTGTTAACCAGACATTGAGAAACTAGCCCTTAGGCGTTTAGCAGATAGTGTATTAAATCTGATAAAAATATTTATGTAAGAGCAGTCCATAGATGTTGTCAACCCACAAAACGTGTATGTGCACTTTTTTCTTCTCGAAATCTCTTACTTATAGTATGGATGTAATTCTCTTCACTTAAGTAGCATTAAGGGCCATTTTCTCAACGCCTGGTTGACAGTAATCTCCGGTAAAACATCGTTATCGACGTTACGATAGTAACCGGAGATTAGTGTCAATCAGGCTTTGAGCAAATGGCTCTTAGGGCCAGTTTATCAATGTCTGGTTAACACTAACTGCAGGTAAAACATCGTTATCGACTCCTAGTTATATGCTATGGAGTCTATCACGTCGATAACGATGTTTAACCTGCAGTTAGTGTTAACCGGACGTTGAGAAACTGGCCCTTATTCTGCAATTATCTTTTAAGGCCCGTTTGCACCATGTCCAGTTAACACTAACTAAAGAGATCTACAGCTTTATGGATCAGACGTCAGATGCAGGGAGGCGATAACGATGTTAAATTAACCAGAGATGGGACAAACGGCCCAAATATTTGTATTTGTTAATTTTACTGCTAGCATTTAAAAAAAGTTTACAAGAAATGTGTAAAAATAGTAAATCTGTGATATTTAAGTTTTCTTAATCTAAGAAAATATGTGCATATCGTTACCTTAATGCAAAAAATCCATAACTGACTAAAATTTGTATTGCATCAAACGATATGGGAACTAGTAGTTCGATGAAATGCATCATAATCAGTTAAGTTATGGCTTTTTGTATTTCAACGAAGATGTGAGATCGGGCTTTTCTCTATTAAGGTAACGATCTACAGTTAATTTATTAACTTATAAATGTACATAAACTTACTTAATTAACTTTCTTAGTTGCATATAAATAAATATAATTATGTTATAAGAAATATTGGTAAAAAAGTGTGATTTGGAAAAAACATAAAATAAATGCCAAGCCTAGAAAAATTAAAAAAAGTATATTGTGAAGGCAGTAAATTATAAGAAGGCAAACTTATGCATTAAAACCTTAAATGAAATACAAAATATACATATGTACATACATACACTATACTTGGGATCGTTTTCGCCATCTCTGGCTAACACTAATTCCCCGTTAAACATCGTTATCGATTCCCCGGTATATTGTGTTAACCAGAGATGATGAAAACGGCCCTTAATGCGTTTTATTTTACTTTAAACAGATCATCTTATACGCAGTGTAGACGCTTTGAGTGATATAAAGTTATGCTTTTTTGGGTGAACTTTGAAGAACGCTTCTTTTTTATAATTTTCTCAACACCTTATGCTCAGTTTTAACTGGTCATCTTTTCTATTAACAGCTCTATTCGGCACATTGCCGATCATTTTGTAACAAGTAAATTTTATTAATAAACATTACTACCGCGATTAAATGTATAAATGGTAACACGGTCAATATTTTCAGGTATTCAACAATTGTTTTGTGTAGATATGCGGGTATGAAATATTTCATAAACAATGGGTCGATTATGGATATCAACGCAACGACGGTTGATTGCCTGCCAGCAACGCAATTGGGAAGAAAATTTGTTTTACGAATAGCAACTATCGCAAGTTGCTGCAGAGTTATCGATAATCGAAATTTTTCTGTACGGCAACCAGCAAGTGGTTTTAAAGATACTGGGATCGAATCGTAACAGTCGTGAACGAGCAACTCGTCACATAAAAATGCGTATTTCGGATTATAACAGTGGGCCTGTTCGAGGCATGTAATAAAAGCGGCAATACTGCAGCGGTGATAGAAATTTACATCACTGCTGCAACTGCCCAACTGATAAAACTTCGTTAGAAATTCACAACGAACGTGATACTTTAATGGTTCGCGCAATGCTGCGGTTGTGATAGCAACTCGAACAAGCCCACTTTAAACTAGAGATTGACAAACGATCCTGTTTTTGTGACTTTAAAGGCCCGTTTACATACAACTTTGGCGTTGCGTTGGCGTTGGTGTCGCCTCGACAGCTGACTATGAATACATGCATTTATATGAAAGTCTCAATATAACCAAAGTTTGGCAACGCCAACGCCAACACAACGCAGAAAGATGGCCAACTCTCAACTTTTCGCGCACGTCGTTCGTCAGCTGTTCTAAATAATCAAAATTATGTGATTTAATTTTCATTTTTAATCAAATGCGGGCAAGAAATATAGTTTTTAATCAGTGTTGCCGCGCCGTCTCAAGAAAATGTATCCCTAACCAAGCCAAAAATGTATCCAAATGTATCCAATTTTCTTTTTTTACATATACATCTCATACCAACCTCCATGGTAGCCATGAAATGCCGCGCATCTCTTAACGAGATGGCTGAGTCATTTCGCCCAAAGGTAATATGGGTTCCGGGACACTGCGGCATAGAGGGGAATTGTAAGGCCGACGAACTGGCGCGACTTGGCACGAAACTTCCTTTTGAGGATATAAATGACGAAATAGGAATACCCTTGCAAACTTGTAAGCTACTTATCTCCGAAAGGCTCACTAAAGTAGCGAACGAAAGGTGGCAGGACGAAATAAACTGCAAAACTGCCAAACAATTATGGCCGGTGCTCAGCGCCAAACGCACTGGCCTACTACTGAGTCTAAATAAGTCCAATATTAGATTATTAGTATCCGTCATAACAGGACACTGCCTAATTGGCAAGCACGCCTATCGACTTGGCCTACGCTCACATGACTTCTGTAGAAGTTGTCAAGATGAAGAAGAGGAGGAAACGATTCTGCACCTGTTGTGCCAATGCCCTGTTCTATCTAGACGAAGACTCTCCACTCTCGGTAGGCAATTCTTCGACAACTTGGAGGACCTTAGATGCGTCGAAATCAGGGATCTTCTAAAATTCGTTCAAAATGGTATTAGGAGGGATTGGGTGTTGCTGACCCAACATGCGGCATCACAATGGGCCCTGAGCCTAAGTGTGTCTTATAGACGACCGCGACAACCTACCTACCTACATCTCATAATTTGTAAGAAAACCAAACATTTTCATGAAAAAGACATAATTTAACCCATCCTAAGGACTTGGAATACATGTGCATAAAATCAAACATTTGTAATTTCAATTTATTAAGTACATTTTTTGTGCATAAGTATTTTGCAAAGTAAATATAAAAAATAGCATGTACACTCTAAAAAGAGCATGTAAAACTACTACTGAAAAGTATCTATTTTTCAACAAGAATCTGTATAAATATACGTATAAGATGTTCAGTATTTGATTTTGAACTTGAGATCTTTAAAATATGCACATTAATACACATATATAGAATGTTTAAAATTGCAAAAATTTTCAAACTACAAATAGATTTCCTACTAATAATAAACATTACTTTATTTTAAACATTTTATGTGTAAAAGTAAACAGGCAATGATTAATTTTATATCACGGCGTGCAAATTTGCACCCATTAAAAGAGGAATCTGGTTACCTCTCTCAATATGCGCAAATAAACTAAATTTTTTCAGTAAAATTCATAAAAGTTTCCTTAAATAAATCAAATTTAGTTTTTTAAACTACATTGAAATCTTCTTTCTTTTTAAATTAACAAATGAAAATATGTGATATGAAAGAGATTACTACAGAAAGAGTGTAATTTACTTTATATATATCGTCGTTTAAAGTACAAAACCACGTATCGTCATTCTGCAAAACCGCTTAACTAACGTTTGCTGCCAAAAATTAGATTTGCTCACACAAGTTCTTGGCTCAATCCTTATCCATTCGTCCTGAAATATACTAGCCAGAAGTGCGATTGCTTTATAAAAAAGAGAACCATTTTGAAGTATAAGTGTTTTTACTCTCTAGAAAATAATTTATGCAACGTCACATACGAGGTTTTGCATTATCTTGATACGCGGTTTTGCATTTTGTTGATACGCGGTTTTGTACCTTAAACGACGATATGTTTATTAAGATCTTGCTTAAAGCATCCTTTTAAGCTAGTTAACGCAATTGCGCTTATACCTATTTTGGTTAGATCTCTTCATATGTTCCTTGCTTCGTTCACAAAAAATAAAATGCTTTAATTTCACGCTTAAGTAGCGGTTCTTTATACGTTTATAAAACGTAATGCTTTCTACCATATTTAATGAAAATCGATTTTTGAACGAAAAAAAATTTATCGGAAATATAAAATTTTGGCCTATTTAAAAAAGTATCCACATTTATACTGACCGGAAAAAATAAGTATCCCGCAAAAATTTGTCTAAAAATGTATCCAATTGGATCTATTTAGATCCAAACGGCATCCCTCTTTTTAATGCAATTATTGATGTAAAATTTTGATTTATTTGCTGCTAGTATGTTAATTTAGTGACCAAAGTATTCTCTGCTAAGCTTTCATTGTAGCAAAGACGGGCGTTACTCGCGCTGCTGTCAAAGCGACGCCAGCGCCAACGCAACTCCAAAGTTGTATGTGGACGGGCCTTAAAGCTGATGCCACATAAAACTTTTACTTGGCTTTATGTGACAGGTTCGTTTTGACAGATAAGATGAATTGTATGAAAAAGCATAAAGCATGCCACATAGATCCTTGAAGCTGCAACTCCCATCATTTTGCGCGCCTTGCCAATCATCCGGTTTAATATTTATAATATATTGTTTCGTCCAAATTCGAGTTTTCATACAGAAACGTAAAGCTTAATTACATTGCTGACATTTTCAAAGCAAAATATATAAAATCCACAACAATTTTGTCCAGTAAAATAGCAGTATAAAATTGTTTTCTTGGCGTTCATTGTGGCGTACCTTTTGCGTCTGGCGCTTTGCTAGCAAAGCTATAAATGTCACGCAAAGCTACAAAGTTTTATCTGGCATCAGCTTAAGGGCCAGTTTTTCAGTGCCAGTTTACACTTAGGCACGGTGCACATTAGAGCGATACGATATGCGCTGCGATATGCGATACGATAAGAATGCGACATCGTCATGCTGAGTACGTGGGAATTGGTAGGAAGCGATGAAAACTGTGCACACTTCCACGACAGCGGCACCACTGCGATATAATATCGCATGCGTATCGCACGTGCGACACCGCTGCGATATAATATTGCATGCGTATCGCACGTGCGATACGGTTTTCTGATCGTTTCACAGGCGGAATCATCATCCTCAACCTTTTTTTTTGTCGAATTAATTTAAAAAAAACCATGTTTATGGAACTATACCGTAAAAAAACTACTGTAGGATATGACTAGTTTGGCATGGAGAAATATAGCGTCTGAGGTCAAGGACACAACTAAATGCACAAAAGAATATTTTACCTGATGGTTTATTTGCCTTTGTTTTCACATCTTTAAAAAGAAATTTAAAGAATCGAATAATTTTAAACCTATCTATTTCGATTTTGAATAGCAAAAAAGATTTGGTGTTTGTTTAAATGTTAATGATTAACTATTTTGTTTCAAATATTCAAATAAACAGTAATCAATGTTCTTAGAAACAATTAAGAAATAATCATTTCATTTACCATTAAAAGAAGAAATCAGATATAATAACAAATACTAAAAAATTACGTATGTATGTAGGTAATTATTTTTGAGTATTCGTTATATTTTTATATGTTTTTTTCTTGAGTGTTATTTTATTATATTTAATAAGTTTTTAAATTAAATAGAGAAAGGAAAAATTTATGTGCTCTAGAGCCCAATGCTACAAAAAATAATGAAGTAAAAATACATGGTAAGTCATGTTATTTTTCAGGTAGGTTTTGCCGAGTGAAGTAAGAATCAAGATACGAAATTTTGGTCACACACCCACACAATCTTGATTTACTGTTAAAAACCGGTTTTTCACACTTATAAGCTTGTAACTCAGTTGACTATATACCGAGTTTAGACCTTTCGAATGATATATGTATATAAACTTTTAGAAAACTTAAGAGACCTGTGTGTATTTTCTGTGTTAATTTTTTCGCCCTTTTTCAAATTTGGCAAAGTTTTCACGCACTATTTTATAAAGAAACTGATACTACGTTTATGCGTAGGCTAATACTATGTCTCCATTTTGAGATTTAATGAAGATTTAGCCCTCTGACGAG